AAAATAGGATACAGTTTGTATGGGGACAACTGAACAATCCCCAAGTTGTGAAGATCTGGAAGTCTAGTATCTCTGAATTGGCCAACGTCTCTCAAGCAAGGGAATGACTGAAGAGGGGGAAGCTGAGGAACTAAATATACCAAGTGACAAGGGACACACCATATATGACAATAGAACTCTGACACACACCTCTGCAGCAACCAGCCTGAAAGGCAAACCACAGCCTCTACAGCAATCAGCTCAGAACAACCAGAACTTGGTCAATGACTGCTAGTTCCCTTATTTTGTTTGCCCCCACTTTCAACTTAGGATCAACCATAGAGGGCCAAATAAGCTCCCCAAACCAATCACATAAGATGTCCTGCTCCTAGCTAACCTACCTCCAGTTCTCCCATACCAACAACCTCCAATCAGGGCATACCTGAAGCTTTGTTCTTCTTATTTTAAAGCATTCTTACTTTCTGCATGCCTCTGGATCTCTGCCTAAGGCAGGTGATAGTAGCTGATCCTTCGCTATAGCAAGCTCTGAATAGCCTTTGTGTTCTCATTTAAGCGGGCTTCACTTACTTTCACAAGTACAGAGCCCTTCATCTTACAGAGAAAGCTGAGACCCAGAGAATTAAGGATGTGACTTCACACCCAAATGGCTTTGCAGTACTGGGTCTTGAGAAACAGATTCCTGGTCATCTGTCAGTATCCATCATCCTCTTTTTCCTTAATAACAGAATCCCCAAATTTTACTAGGCTCTTTGCTGCCCGGGACAAAGACCAATTTCTGGCTTCCCTTGCCATCAGCTCTCGTCCTGTATCTAAGTTCTTGCCAGTGATCTGTAAGCAGAAGTGGTATATAGCAGTTATTTGTTGAGGAATATCTAAAGTACAGTCTAAATGTTTATGCTTTATTTGGATAATAACTGAAGAATTGAGGATGTGGAGAAAAGGAACTCTCTTGCACTATTGGTGGGAATGCAAACTGGTGCAGCTGATGTGGAGAACAAAGGCAAAAGAATGTAGATAAAATTAAGTCTCCTTACAACTTACAGCCCATTGACAAATACTTGGATTAAAAAAAAAAGAAAAAAAAATAATTGAAGAAGCATTTTCACATTGATTTGAGTGTGTGCTTCTGTCATAAAGAACTTGGCTCGTCTTTGTCCTTGATTCCTGGGAAGTAACCCCTAAATCCTTGGAATTTCCTGAGTGATAAGAGTGTCTTTGTTATTCATAGTGGGTCTCTGGGACCACACCTGATAGTTCATGCTAATGAGATGACTCTTGGGATGCCTGGGTAGCTCAGTCAGTTAGGCATCTATCTGCCTTCGGCTCAGGTCATGATCCCGGGGTCCTGGGATCAAGTCCTGCACTGGGCTCCTTGCTCAGCAGGGAGCCTGCTTCTCCCTTTGCCTGTTGCTTCCCCTGCTTGTGCTCTGTCTCTCTGACAAATAAATAAATCTTTAAGAAAAAAAAAGATGACTCTTGGTTGCCCCTGATTTATGCTAATTAGATTCAAGATGGGGGCTGACCAAGTCAGAAGGCTGACCAAGTCAGAAAGACCAATCTTGTGATTAGAGGGTTGGGACTTTGAGCCATGTGGTATCAGCCTGACTTCCAGGAAGGGAAGGGGCACTGGAGATTGAGTTAACTGTGTGGTCAACCAACCATGACAACATAATGAAACCCCAGTGAAAATTGGACTATGAAGCTCAGGTGAGCTTCCCTAGTTGGTGGTACTCTGCATAGTTACACATTGCTATACCAGCAGGTGATGTGTTCCTGGGGAAGATGAAAGCCTCACATTTGAGATGCTCTCAGACCTCAATCTATGTGCCTCTTCCTTAGGTTGATTTTGATTTGTATCTTTTTGCTATAATAAAGTTATCATAATAAATATAGCCCTTTCCTGAGTTCTGAGATTTGCTCTGGAGAATTATCAAACCTGAAGGAGTAGTGGGAACTCCCAAATTTGTAGCCAGCTGGTCAGAAGAGTAGCATAGGGACCCCCAAATTTGTGGCTGGTGTCTGAAATGAGAGCAGTCTTGTGGGGTATTGTATCTTTAACCCATGGAGTTTGGCCTAATTCTGGGTAGCTGATAGGAGAAGTCATTGTAGTGCTACAAAATAAAATAGCAATGAGTTTTTATGTACACACATACCAACCCACCCCCAAAAGATGGAACAATGTCAATCTATATTTGAATTTGAAAAATAATTACATGAAGCAACATTGTATTTTTCTAAGAAAATATTTAATAGGTAGTTTTCTAGAAGGGATGTTTTTCATCTAGTACAAAAGTGTGAAGTCAGGGGCACCTGGCTGGCTCAGTCAGAAGAGCATGCGACTCTTGATCTTGGGGTTGTGAGTTCAAGCCCCATGTTGGGCATAGAGATTACTTAAATAAATAGTATTTTTTAAAATGTGGTATATCTATACAGTAAAATATTTTTTTTTAAAAAGTGTGAAGTCAGAAGCAGTGAGAAAACATGGGCAATACAAGTTTTTCCCAAATTAACACATGGTTAGTAAGCACCATCTGCTCATTTCTGAGAGGAAGTATGAGAAATTATCTGAAGCAGCTGATAATCTGGTTCAGGAGACAAGAAAGTGGCAAGCTGATAAACAAATGATTTAAATAGATCAAGACAGTAATAAGAACTATCCCAAGACATCTTTCATTTTTAAAAACCTTAAGCAAACACAAATGCTTTTACAATTGCAAATCAGTAAGATAATGACTTCACATCAGTGTTCAAGAGAATTCTTCCCTGATGAGAGGGTCTTTGAACAGGGTTCTAATTATTAGGCTTCAGAGAAGTGGAGAGGGCACTCCAGACTGGTGGAACGGGCAGGGGAGTGTGAAGGTATGTCTGAGGTATGGCAAGCAAATTAGTTTGTCTGTAATAGAGGTTCTTGTCAGGAGCAGCAGGAAGTTAAAGCAGAGTGAAGCAGGCATTAAATGCCAAATTGAGGAGTGAGGATTTATCTTGTAGGCAGTACAAAGGCTTTCAGACAGGGCAGTGGGTACAGACTAAGAATGGTTACCATGGCAAAGATACACAAGAGAGACAGATGTTAAGCAAAGACCAGCTACAAAGTTGCAGGTGTCCAGGTATATAAAGTGACTTAGGTTGGGGTTAGAAAAGGGTACTGGGAGAAAAGGTAAGACAGAACAAACTAAGCTATTACTAATATAAGAAATTTGCTTTTTCTCTCCTGTGCACTTTGGCTCTCTAGAAAGAAATCCCCATGATTTCTAGGTTGCTGGACTGGAATTCTGATCTCAGCTGTCAGATGCCTCCTGTTCATCCTCTCTGCCTGCACCTCTCTGCCTTAGCCAACCGGTTGGACCCCTAGATTCTGACTGTCTGCATGGACCCACTTTGAACTGATTCCCTGATGTCTAGGCTCAGCTTCCTCATCTGGACCTAAAATGCGTGAAGGACTGTCTTTAGTACAAGCTAATCTTTTTAGTCAAGGCTCTCCTGCTCTCTGCCTGCTCCTACTCCTGGCTTCTCCACATAAATTTCAGATGCATCATGATAGGAAATTGAGATCCAGTAAGCTTAGGGTTAACTCTTACAGAAAATAAAGACACACAGATGGCTTGAAGTTACCAGACAAGATAGGAAAAGTAGTTTAGCAATAGTTGGTATATCTGTATATTTGGTATTTTTTTTAAAAACAATTTTACTGAGGTGTAATTTACATACCATAAATTTCACCCATTTTGTGTGCACAATGCAGTAATTTTTAGTAAATTTACCAAGTTGTTCAACCATCACCATAATCCAGTTTTAGGACATTTGCATCACCCCAGTAAGATTCCTTATAACATTTGCATTTACTCCCAGTTGCCTCTCCCAGCAGCAGGCAACCACTAATCTACTTTGCCTCTGAGGATTTGCCATTTCTGGACATCTACTATAAATGGAATGGTGCCTGGCACCTGGCTTTCACTTAGAATAATGTTTTTGTAGTTTTGATTTTTTTTTATACAATACCCACATTTTAATGATTTTAATGTTTGAAAAGATTTTATTTCAAAAATCCCAAATCTCGTAGCATAAAGATCTAATAAAAAATTGCTTTTTGCTCAAACTTTAAAAATACTACTCCAGTGCGTGGGGGGTTTTGTACAGGAAGAACTTCAGTCTCTCAATCTCAAAACCACAGCTGTGAACCAGAAGAAAAAGAGGCCCAGCCCAGTGCATGGCATTTTCAGATCAGTTTCCTTAGCCCTAAGATAGGGTCTAGCTAAATCAGTGGTGGCTCTCCACCTAGCTCAGCTTCCATTCTCTTCACCTACACAGTAACACCTCTGCCCCCATCAGTTATGGGATAAGGAGGCGAAGCACAGTGCAGTTATAGAGCCCCCACCAAATAGAAAACCACCAGATTTGATTTCTCAGATTCCTTTCAGCTCTTGTTTTATGAATCTCAAGTCTGAAAGGAACTTTCCCCACATTCAGTAAGTCTCCAGGGTTTCTCTTTGGAGTGAAGCCTTAATGTATGCTGATCCCTGAACTGTACTAGTGGGTTTTCCCAGTTTCACCAAATTCAAAAAGTCACTCTAGGACACATTCTCTGATGTGCAAAATGAGTGGAACATCGGCCAAAGGCTTTTCCACATGCATTACATTCCCAAGGCTTCTAACTAGCAGGGTGAGTTCCCTGATATTTATAAAGGATAGAGGTTTGGCTGAAGGCTCTCCCACATTCACTATTTCCATAGTGTTTTTCTCAAGGATAAATTCTCTGATATTTATTAAGAGATGAGCTCTAATAGGCCTTCCCACATTTACTGCTTCCAAAGGACTTCCCTTGTATATGTGTTCTTGGTGCTTAGTAAGGGAATTAGTATTACAGACGGCTTTTACCACACTTGAGTTATCTGATATTTATTTACTTACTTACTGAACAGTATGTGACTGAAGGCTGTGTCATGCTCATTGCATTGATAAGGCTTCTTGCCAGTAGAAACTGTCTTATGTTGAATAACTTGTGTCCTCTGACAAAAGCCTTTCCAAATCAAATCACATTTACTTGGTTTCTCACTAATATGGATTCTCTAGTGTTTGATAAGAGGCAAGGTGCGACTGAAAGCCCGCCTTCTCTCTTGACATTGATAGAGCTTCTCTTTAGCAGGTACTGTCTGATGTTGAACAAGATAGGTCTTCCAACCAAAAGTCTTCCTACATACATTACACATACAGGATCTCTCTCCAGTGTGTGTCATGGGAATATTGTGTGTATTCCAGCTGAAAGCCTTCCTACATGCACTGAATTCATACGGCTTTTTTTCCAGCATGACTTTTCTGATGTTTAATAAGGGATGCAGTATGAGCAAAGGCTCTCCCACATTCATTACATTTGTAGGGTTTCTCTCCAGTATGAAATCTATAATGTTGAGTGAGAGATGAACTTTGGCTGAAGGCTCTCCCACATTTATTACATTTGTAAGGTTTCTCTCCAGTATGAAATCTATAATGTACGATGAGAGATGAACTCTGACTGAAGGTTCTCCCACATTCCCTGCATTCATAGGGCTTTTCTCCAGTATGAGTTCTCTGATGTTTAATAAGAGACGAAGTATGACCAAAGGCTCTTCCACATTCATTACATTTGTAGGGTTTCTCTCCAGTATGAAATCTATAATGTAAAACAAGAGATGAACTCTGGCTGAAGGCTCTCCCACATTCACTGCATTCATAGGGCTTTTCTCCAGTATGAGTTCTCTGATGTTTAATAAGGGATGAAATATGACCAAAGGCTCTTCTACATTCACTGC